AATGACAACAAAGGAACTAGGAAGTCACAGACTGAAGTCTATAAGAACAGCTCCTTCTGTCCATATAGCAATGTCTAAGCAATATGAAAACCAGGTAACCGTGGTCAAGAATTTGTGCTGGTTTATTCACAGATGAGATCCTAACAGTACATACAAAAGATCAGGGTTTCAAACACAGCAACTCCCACCGACAACATGCCATGAATTTTCTAGGACAAAGCCTAACACTGTTTCAGTGACCCCTTCACTTGTCTTAACAAGGATAATGTAGTTTTCAAAATGACCTAGGAAGGCACCAGGGAAGCAATTCCACCTGTCAGCTATATTTGTACAGAGCATTACATTTTACAAGCCTCACTTTACTTGTGCCACACAACTAGAGTAACAGAATGAAGAAAGGGAAGGGTGGGTAGGAAGAAACATGAAAGAAACAGGGCAAGAAAAGGTGCTCTATATACATAACCAAGACATTCAAAGACCTGACATCCTACACAAACTTCTCATTTGTCTCAACATTATCAGTATGCACACCATTATTATTTCTAGACACTCTAAAAGAAACCTGAGAGAATATAACAAACTGTGTCCACTACTTCAGCATTCTGTGTCAAGTGAACGAGTGTGAGTGTGTAAGAACCAGAGTATCTAAGGTTCCCGTGGTGAGCTGTAAAAATTCTGTACTCTTGTATTACTACAACTTTCCTATAAATTTGAAGTCATTTCAAAATGTAAGTTGGATTCTTTAATCTTCCCGGACTTTTAGATTCTTACTGAGATTAAAATCGTAATGAGGCTTCTTTCATACCATCCAAGCATATTATGTTGATGTTAACATAACAGTTAGTCAATAAGTTTGTGTTATATTGAGAGCAAATTTCCCAAAGAAGCAAAACAAGATTTAGAATTTTTAAAATTTCAGTTCCTGAATCAAACTCACTTCATTCTTGGGCTTCTATGGGTTAACAGATGAAGAGTATAGCCAGAAGAGACACATTTTAGAAGGAATCTACTCTTATCCCATTCAAAGCTAGAAGGCAGAAATCAATTCAGAATTCTACTACTTAAGAGGACTGTGAACTCTCTACAATAATATTCTCAAACAAAGTTGAATAGAATATATTCCACTCTGATCTTAACAATTATGAAAACACTATATCCATACTCAAAATACCAGAAAGACTTTCATCAGTTTTGGTATTGAACTTGGAAAATTAAACAGAATTTACCTATACTCTAATAGACAGTAACAGTAATAACATCAGCATATTTATACAGTGTTAAAATTAGTTTGCAAATCACCTTCCTTTCTATTATATCATCTGAGTCAGGCAGGCCAGGAATTATGACCCATTCTATGAGACGGAGACTTTTTCAAGATCCCCAAGTTATCAGGTGGTAGGTCTAGGACTTGAGTAAAATCCTTTTGGCTCCAGGTCCAGCTAAAGTGTGCCTGTTGCTTAACTGATAAATAACACCCTTTAGTTATTTTATTCTCTCACCAAGTTCCTAGAACTATCACCTGTCTCATTATTAAGACAAATACTGTAACAGTTTTGCATGAGAGTAAGGTAGGCCAGCCACTCAACTTCCTGTTCATTCTTTTTATATCTTTTTTTTCTTTAAAGACTTCTCAGAATGATCAATTCACTTTAGGTATGCCATCACCAAGTAGCAAAAGGATGTCACAGAAAAATTAGACCAAAGTAAAAGGCATGAGTTTTCCCTAAGTTTCAAAAGTGATTCCAGACTCTAGATACTTGCAATGCTACTTGCAATTTATAATCAGAGATTTTCACATTTTAATTAAAAGATTCATTAAAGTAGCTAACCTTAAAAAGCAAAGCCAAAACTTTAGCAAATGTTGAATAAGAGCTTTAAGTAAAGCTCTTTAGCCCACCCTCTTTTAATAACCTAAGTGTCTTTCATAATGTACTAAATTTTCCTACAACTGTTAATACTAATTACATCTAAAATATAGATGATGATTCTAATACTAATCTTTATAATTCACCCTAATTTAACTAACTGTCAAAATACCAGAGAACTTTACCCTCAAATGGTTTCAAGCTTTAGAACTTATAATAATTCTTTTAAAAGCAGCCTCCTTTTACTTATTCCTTTACAACTGTCTTAACTCTTCTCAGGCAATTAAAGGCCCATCTCTTTTCCAGCCTGGGGTTCCATTCTCTACTGTAGATCCTTTCCCTGTAGATTGTTCCCAAAGTCTACTCCTGTCACTTACTAAGGTACCAATAGCTAGGAGCCAGAAAAATCTTATTCTTCTCCACTTGGTGGAAGTTATTTCCCCTGAAGTCATCATTATCCAGGAGGGGAGCTGACTACCCCCACCATTCTCAAATGGCTTACCTATAGCCACTGCTTTCATTTTTCTTAAACAGTAGCCTCTGTAGATTATCTTAGCAACATGTACTAAGTAGGTTCTTCAGAAACTCGGAGAAATTAAAGAAACAATATCCCTCACAATAAAGCAAATAAAAAACAAAGTGTTTTATAAGCAAGGGCAAAGAATAACCATCATTCCACAGTTTAACAACAAATTAGATACCAAATTTTGGTTAGGGCCTGTATTCAGAAATGAGTCCTACAAACTATCCCATAAAAATTAAATGATCTCTAACTTCAGATAAAGAAGCTAAACCTCCATTCAAATGGGAACTGGCAAGAACTGGCAACATCTTCTGAGAAACAGTATATAGGGATGAGAGCTAAGAGGGGAGTTCTGGAGCCAGATCACCTGTGTCCCAATTCTCGTTCCACTGTTTATTTGGCTAACTGCTTTGTGCCTCACTTTCCTCATCTGTAAAATGTAAATGATAAATAGTACCTACCCAGCATGGTTACTGAGTAAATAGGTTAAACCAATTAGAACAGCCTGGCACAAACATGGCAAAATACTCAATAGACTGTACTGTTGATGATGACTCATCCTTTGTCTACTGCTCTAACTTATAACACCCAAGTGTCTCAAAATCTGAAAAGCACAGTTGGTTTATAAGTCTAAATGAATCTGCAGTAATTTCACTCAAATGACATTTCAGTTGGTTGGAATAGCACATTCCAATGGCTTTTCCCAGCACAGGCAGAGCCAATATGCTACTTTGCAACTGGTCTATTCATGAACTGGAAGGTCAGGCTGTTGCACAGTCATCTGTTATATAAGACAGCACAGAGATTTCTTTTATGCAGGAACAAGTACATGTGAGCAAATTTCAACAACTGTGTGATTTCACTCCTTGTGTCAGAATATGAGAGGTTTTATAGTAAGAGTCTGAGGGCTGAGCTGGGTTACAACACATAGCCCACCACGCTAATCCATATTCTGAGCCCAAGAGATATTTACTCAGTGTGTGCCATGTCTGTATACAACACAAAGTGTGATGTTAAGTGGGAGAAAATATAAAAACAGATCTTCAGATTAGCACTATGAGAGCACAACTCTGTCTTGCTAGCCACAATCAGAACAGGGTGGCATGTTCTTCCTCTTTCTTCAAAACACCTTAATACAGCTGCAATGTAAAGGTAGCGTGACTGCAGTATCAGTTCCTCTTTCCCTTGCAAGCTCCTTGGCAGACATGCTAATGAGTCAGAAAGTATCCAAGAGCATCCAGCAGGCAAATAGATGAAAAGTAAGGATTTATAAAATTAGTTCAAATCACTCAAATTTCTATGTCTAGGTATATACCACTTTTTTAAAGAAAGGTATATATTTTCCTTGTGATATAACATTTAACTTCAGAGATGCTTTACATATTGATGCTTCAAAATTTGAGAAGGCCAGGGAAGAGGTCATGAATGCTTTAAGAATCTGAAAAAAAAACTACAGACCCCCTCTCTGACCCTTTGAACATTGTATATGCATATATACACTGACACTGCCTAAGAAGGAATTACTGACCTCCTAATGGCCAAGCATGGAGCCCCTTGAGAGCATGGGCCCAGCTTATGAATTTCTTTTCAACTGCATTTTTCCAGATTTCTAAAGGTCAGAGAAGGCAGTATTATAGCTATAAGTCTCTTTAACACAGCCTCAGTGCCATATACTTCATAATCGACAAATACTTACATACAGACAGTCTAGAAATTTTGAGGAAAAACCCTTGTAAGGTCAAATACATCATTCCTTTTTTCAGTATGAGCATATATAGCACACTTATTTTGGTAAATTTTACCTACTTCACCATTCCATACCTCATGGAGACAGTTTTCCTTCCTAAATGAAGAGACATCTATGTGGAGGGAGAGGAAAGTGGCAGGTCTCCACACTCCTGCAGGGTACAAGCTGGGGTATCATGAGGTGGGGAGGTTAGTGGGAGGATGAGTGGAGCAGAGATGTAGCCAGCCAGTTGCATCTGCTGTTCAAGGAGGAACAACAAAGTAGCTCACAGGGACACTTTATGCCTGGCCAGCAGGGGATGGAGATAAAGCTTGGGACGGCCAAAAGTCTAGAGCTGAATTTTTGTAATCCTTTTAAAACTAAAGAGTTATCAAGTTTATTCTTCTGTGAGCAAAAGAACACATAAACTCTACTAGAGGATCTATAAATAACAACTGAGGAGAGGAAAGAGTGTGTGGAGGCAGATAGCCTCTTTGAAACAATTCTGTGTTTATTCAAATAGAAGTGAGTTACAGACAAAAAAAAAATAGTAATTTGGGAGTTGGGGTAGAAGAAGGAGAGAACGAGGAATTTAAAAGAAGTGGCTTTCATTTGTACCTGCATAGTATGTGCTATGGTGTTGTTCACACACATCTTCCCATGAACAACTGCAGTTTGGGGCTTCTGAAAAAACACTTGGGGCAATGGAAATATCAAGCCATGCTTGTCCAATTACAAACCAAAGTGAGTACATCATAACATTCTTCACAATCTTCCACGTACTGATAAAATACATGAACCATCTGCACCTATTACAGACATGGTTATTTAAGCTCTTTACACAGTATAATCATTATGAAGAACACAAGGAGACAGCTTCACTTACATGGTTAATGAAGAGACTCTTGCGTTTTTCTCTCACTGTGAAGACAAAAGATGCAACAGAAATGTTACATGCCTGCATGCCAACCCCTTGCAGGTCGTTGAGAGGACTGGGCCTCTTGTGTCACAGTCCCATCCTTCCATCAACCAACATACCTAGTTGCTCAATTCCTATTTATAAGACTATGTGACCTGCACAAATGCAGATCTGAACTTGGTTAACAGAGCAAACCATACACCCACTTAAGGTATAGCACCCTAATAAAACAACTGCAGCTATGATTAACTGAGTGGTGACAGCTTTCCAGTAACTAAACAATATATTAATTAGTAAATTTCTCACAAAACCTATATGCATCCATTAATTTAAGATGATTAATCAATAATAAGAATACTTGTTTCTAACCCACCAGATCCATTAAGGTCCCTAAAATCTGGGTGAAATATTTAACAACAATACCCATAACACAGCATTAAGACCAGGGAAAGATAATGTACATCAATGGTGCTCTTTATCACAGAAACCAATTACTCTCCGTGCTGGGTGCTAATGAATAAAAACCAGGCTTCTCACTAGGCAGCCTCCTGGAGCATCCTGCAGCACCCTCTCCCTCAGAAAGGCTGGTAAAAGTCACAATAAAAAAAACATTGCCCTGGAGCGCCTGGGTGGCTCAGTAGGTTAAGCGTCCGACTTCAGCTCAGGTCATGATCTCCCAGTTCATGGGTTCAAGCCTCATGTTGGGCTCTGTGCGGACAGCTCAGAGCCTGGAGCCTGCTTTAGATTCTGTGTCTTCCTCTCTTTCTGCCCCTTAACCACTCGCTGTCTCTCTCTCTCAAAAATAAACAAACATTAAAAAAACAACCACCAAGAAAAAAAACAAAAAACACTGCCCTGTCTAAAAGATCATTTCTCCTATTGCTGTCTATGCAGCATGGCCTATACTGAATGGCTCAGCCTTCCTTACACCAGATGTTAGTGTTCCCCAAAGTAGGGGTCCTCAGCCCCAAAGATGTAGAAGGGTGACAGGGAGCTCAGAGGATTATTAAAACTATTTAGTATAATTGAGTTTTGCCTCTTCTTTCCTGAAGACTTACTTCTGAGGGTACATAATAGTCAGCTAACACATTTATTGAGTAGATCACTGCAGAGGATATGAAGAATGGGCCTCCTTCAAGGAGATGACATCCTTGGTCCCTGGGAATCAATAATGCTATCTCAGGGTATCCTGAAATAATAGCATACAAATCCACCTCATCTGAGGTGGACTTTTTTCTTGGCAGGCCATGACCCAAATGCAGATTCACTAGTTTTCAAAAGCCCTTCAGCTGCTCTGAGGGGCCTGTGAAATGTTTTCCTATGTTTACATTCTGTTTTCAATTCACAAGGAAACATTTCTGTTTTCCTGAGAAGTCCTAATATCCCTGGAATGACTGCTGTCCCTCTTCCTATGTCAAAGATATTTGAGATACAAAGCAAAAACCAGCCTGAGGATGCTGCTCGGAGAAGGTGCCTACACCTGGCATCAGAGGGATTCATCTGCAGGCCACTGACATGCACAGCACACAGAGTGTGAGTCACCCTGGCTGTGCTGGAGACCAGACCCACACACAGGGAGCTCAAGTGCATATACAACAGTGTCTGCTATTCACAGTGTGGAGGCTGCAGGGTTTCTTCTGACCTAGTTCCAAAGAAGCATCATCCACATGTGAACCATAACAAAAGAAAAGTCAGGATCTAACAGGAAGCACTGGGTTTGAACTTCCTGGCATACATACTTTGTGTGCATGTGTGTGTGCACATGTGCATGTCAGTACTAAATTATTATGCATCTAGTCAGAGCTGCTCTATCACATAGGGGTAGGATGACATTTCTGTGGTGGTTTCCATTGGCTGAAGGGATCTGGAAACACTTTCTATACAGGCAGTAGACCTGATGAGTTTTCCAGCAAATTCTTTGGGTGACATTTAGTCCTTCCAAGGGCATCCAGAAATAGGTTTGTGCAGAGGCTCTGTGTCTCCCAATTATGGGAACTGCCTCCAAGGTCACCTTAATGCCCTGTATCACCCAGCCTCCAGCAGACAAAAGATATCCATGCTTCAAGGAATATCAGAGCTTCTTTATGGATGCTACTGGAAAAATTAAGAATTAATCAAAAACAGAGGAGAATCTTCAATAGTATGGGCTGAAAGTTTTAACAAGAAAGTTTGTAACCAAAAAATAAAACAAAACCACACTAAACAAGTAGGAATACTGTAAAAGTATATACTCTTCTTGTACATCTTCTACAAATATAAATCTGAGGGAAGAATCGGGAGATTTCCATGAAGCCCAACTGGTTCAAATTAGAATAGTAAAAACCAAACTTCATGAACAACTGTAAAATACCCAAGGATAAAGTATCCAAATCTATTACAGAATTATCGTAGGCCCTCACTGTTATTATACAAATAAATACCTACATATTACCCTATTTCCCTCAGAGCAACTGGGCCTGCTGAATCTGATCCAAAATCTGGGTTCACAGGGCCTGAATCATTACTTTGTATTTTGTATTATTTTGTGATGCCACCGCTAAGAGGGCCTTTGCAAAATCAAATCTACATTGTATCTGAGAGGCTTTTCCACACATGCATACCTATGACTGACTTCGTGATGGAATGTCTCCTGAATTCCCAAACCAACTGCCAGTCCCTACACAAACAAAAATAACTCCCAATACCCATGCTTGTACTAGGTGACCCTGGCCATAACTGCCTGGAACCAGGTAGATACCCATTCCTAGCTGGGCTAATTCTCTCTCCTGGGAACCTGCTGCTGCTAGCCATCACTGCCAGCACCTTATCTGACGGTATGGGGTGGGCGGGATGAAGTGCATCTCCTGTGCAGAGAAGAGTGAACACAGAAGGTCTGACTGCCATCTCTAAAATGGCTTGTTTGAAAGAGAGGTGCCTGGGAATATGGATTTGGGGATGGTTCCTGCCATTCCATAACTGTTAAAAGTGGCTCACTGCACAAACAATATGGCTTATGCTGTATGCCTGCTTTCCTCCTGGGAGTCTAGAATTTTGGTACATACTAGGCAGAGGCTGCCTACTTAGCCAGCCCTCAGTAAAAATCCTGGGCATTGGGTCTCTAAGGACTTTCCCTGGCCAGCACATGTCACGAGTTGTCACTGGGAAAACCTAGTGCATCCTGCAGAACTCTATTTGGAGCCTGTCCCTGGTTTCCTCTGGACTTTGCCCATGCACCTTTTCCTTGTGCTGATTTTGCTTTGTATATGTTCTTTGTAATAAGCCATAGCCATGTGTATGACTATATTTTGAGAGCTATGACTCCTCCTACTGAATAAGCAAAACTGTTGGGGGGGGGGGTGGTGGTTAGTCTTGATCTCTAACACAGCTGCCATGCAGAGATGAATGGAGGCCAGGAGAGTGATGAGGGGAAGGTAGGTGCTTCCTTAGTTCCTAATGGATTTTAGTCCTTACTTCCAATGACTTGTAAGGTTTCTCGGATACCCTGGTGCCCTTACAATTAATTATTCCTTTTCCCCTAAGCTAGCAGGAGCAGGATTAAGATACTACCATAGGAGAAAAAATACTAAAAATAAGTGGAACCTCTTACAATGGTATCACCAAAAAAAGATGAATTACATTACCTAAATCCAAATCTGTCTTTAAAATAAATCTGAAACCACTGAGGCCATTACTCAGCTCTGAAATTGAAATGGCTTTTACACATTTCGTTTTGTGTAATGGGATAAGCAATATGCCAATTCATTTCTGATATTAGCTTTAATCATCTTTAAACTTGAATATTTTTGGTTACTAATAACCTATCAATCAAAATCTCTGGAGTCCTCAGAGTTCTTACATAATTGAGAGACTAATAGTCATATTTTGCTTTGTTGGGAAAACAGGCAATAAATTGGTGTCAATTATAAATCTCACTTTCCTGGGAAAGAAATAATAGGTATCTCCTTTGATCCCATCTATGATGGTTTAAGAGAATTTTTAAGTAGCTATTAAAATAGTCCATAATGACTTAAGTAGAAAACGTATTTGAGGCTTTAAAAATAAGCCCTCTAAAATCAGCAAAGACACTATGGTTAGCATTAAAAGTCTTCTCCAGAGAAAATGAGGAGAAAATGGCAGAGTCTGTAATCCGAGAGAGTCAAAACTTCACTTAGGTTGCTATGTGACATTCCCTTGTCACAATGTCACAGAAGAAAAATTTTACTTTTAAGAATACAATTTTCTATTTAAAAAATTTTTTTTAACATTTATTTATTTTTGAGACAGAGAGAGACAGAGCATGAATGGGGGAGGGGCAGAGAGAGAGGGAGACAGAACCGGAAGCAGGCTCCAGGCTCTGAGCCATCAGCCCAGAGCCCGACGCGGGGCTCGAACTCACTGACCGTGAGATCGTGACCTGAGCTGAAGTCGGACGCTTAACTGACTGAGCCACCCAGGCACCCCAAGAATACAATTTTCTTAAAAAAAAAGCCTAATTGCTGAGGATTTGTTAACAACCTAAATGCAATTTCAGCTAATCTCTTGTATAGATAGGCATTTAAAAAATTATCTTGGTTTTCCTTGTTCCATCTCTAAAATAGATCTCCCAATGGCAAGTGGACACAAAATGTGAGGACTAAGTAAGTCCTTAAATAGGTAAGCCAACCTCCTTCCTCTGACAATGAGGAAGCTGCCCTTGCAGGCCTAGACAAGGAGTGACTACAAGGCAAAAGACAGGGATGGCTTGCTGGGTTCCCCAGGCTCCTTTCTCTGCACTACCCTCCCTCCCAAGGCAGTGTCCCTGGTGCCTGTAACCTGAATGAAATGAGTTCCATTTGACAACAGATAATTAGTATCTAATATGAATAGAGCTAAACTACTCCACAAAGAAAAATTATTTAGCTTATTAATTACTCTGAATGTGAGGGACTGGCAGGCCACACAGGGAGGCCTTGATGACAATGTAGAGAATTACAGAATTTTGTTTTGAGATGTAAAAGTGATTGCTGGGATAGCAGAGCCAATT